ATATATTAATCATTTGGTCATTTAGTGGCAATTCGTCCATCAATTATATATTTTTATATCGTTAAAAACAATACTCACAGCAATCCATGTCATCCGACTTATCATATGTGGCGGAACCGAAGATTCTTTGACCGTTTTTGTCGACACAATGACACCTAAAAAATTAATGATTACTTTTTGGTGTTAATGTTATTGAGTATAATAAATGGTTTTTATATATAATAATCAAAAAACGATTCAATACAAAGTGCCGTTTCGACAGAGTTTGGGCGCGTATTGACCAAAATCGTCGCATTCGGGTACAGGCTTTCCGACCGAATATTTATCAAGGTCAACTAATTCCCTCTCGCAAAGGCCTACAGTCTCGTCGTCCGACTCGGGAATATCCGAAACTTTACGATTGCAAAGAGTGTTATAACAAAAATCTTATAATTATTATAACAAAATGGTAATAATTTGCGTACTTTTGCGGCAAATGCGGTCTCTGTCCACCTGTTGACACTTGAGGTGCGGTCCGCACACAGACTCGGGAAGTGTGCGAAACATCGAAAGCTGACACGGGTCGCCCTCCTCTTCATTATAGACATAATTATTAGTTAAATGTTTAAAATGAGGACTAATATTATTGGTGAAATACCTAATATTTTGATGCATTTGTGACAACATCCGCAAGTGGTAGCGTTTTTATACAACATCTTATCCTTTCCGACGCAATGTATTTCCTTACAAACGCCGTTTTGAGGGTTTCTACAATAGCTCTCATCACACGTACGGATCTCCTGTCCATTTATAACATCGAGGTTTTGCACGAATATTATGAGAAATAAATAAATAATAAACATTTTTTATTAGTTTGTTGTGAAATTAAACAATTTTAATAAATATTTAATACAATGAAACATTTGTGTGATAAATAAGTGTTACGTTTCTCTATATGTAATGTGTATTATTTGTAATCTGCATTATATTTCGTTACAATTGTGGTATTTATTCGCATATTTATGTATTGATAAGAGAGATAAATATGATTTCCATGACATTTAACATTTAAAGACTATATTAAAGTCTTATTATTTTCATTTTTATTTGATTTGCTGTTTTTTGTATGAAATCTATTCTTAGAAAATTCTTATTCATTATTTTTTAAAGAACTTTATTTTTTTGGAAATATTAAATCAATAACTCTTTTGACAAATTTTATTTCTATCATCTCTCTCTCTCTCTCTCTCTCTCTCTCT